GTATATATATATATATATATATATATATATATATATATATTCTTTACATGTCATTCATTTACTTGATGTGTGTAGTTTTAATTTTGAGAAATAATTAGAGATTGGAAAAATAATTTTTTATGTGACATTTTTTTGATGTGAGACTTTAATTTTAGAAATAATTAAAAAAAATAAATTTTGAGATAAAAAATATTATTCTAACTAAAGTATATTTTTTTAGAAAAAAACATATTACAAATAACTTATTAACTCAATCAATAATAATATTTTAACAAATGTAAGTAGGTAAATATTATTAAAGAAATTAAATATAATAGTAATAAAGTGGTATATAATGATTTGTAGAGTACTTAAAAGGGTGTTGATTTTCTTTCTTTGAAAGCTATTTTTTAGAGGAAGGTGTTCTCTAAGTGTTTGGAGTGCTTAATTATCTCCATGTGTCCAAACAACAACTTTTAAAGGCCGTGCTATAATTGGAATTCGAGTATTATTGAATGAAATGATAGATAAGAAAATAAAAAGAAAAATAGAGCTCTAAAAGATTAAAAAAAATGACTAGAAAAGAGCAAACGAAAAAAAAAAATCCCAAAAACAAAGTATATCACTTCTCTCATTCGTTATCCCTCTCATATTCGTATGCTTTGTGTTGGTTATGCTTGTATCCGTATCGATCGTGAAACTATTTTTCTTTTCATTCAACTTCTTAGTAATGTATTCAGACTAAAGAACTACCTAGAAACTAATGCAATATATTGTAGAAGTTTTTGCTCCTTTTAAATTTATTATTTAATCTGTCCCAATTCTATTATTTTTAACTATTTCTTAATAAGATCAAAAGCATTGGTTTGATCATCTTTAATTATAAGAACCAGTTAAAATTTCTTTTACATTAATTAAAATAATTTTATTTTTAATTTCACATGTAGTTGAAAGAATCGGTGACTCATTCATATTAGAAATATTTTTTTTAAAAAGATATAAATTTAGGATAAGTTTAATATTATTAACTAAGTTTATCAACTTCGTTAATTATGGTGAATTAAATATTTAATTATTTAAATAAATTGAGCCTGAACTTATCAAAATCAAAATGGATAAAAAGCAAATTAATGACACCACCTAAAGTTTCACTTCAAAATGACTTGCTTTATGGTGCTATATATTTGATGGGCATAACAATACATAATAATGTAAGTCCTAAAAGAATACATAATGCAAGTTATGTAACAATACATCATTACATAACGTGAACTTCTCTAATACTCATCACATCGCATAAGAAATATACCCTTCTCATCATTATGTCTTTCTAAAATTCTCTGGATCTTCATGTAGAGGCTGCGTAATTAACATTGCTCATTGAAAATATAAAGGCACCGTAAAAGTGTGAAGCGTGGAAGATGACAATTGACATGCACTTGAAAAGGAAACAAGAAAATGAAGAAAATAAGGAAAAGGAAAAAGAAAGTTCCAAGTTGATGAAATCCCTTACGTTTGATGTTACTTTTGGTATTGAAATGTGTGTTTTGGTTTGTCATGCCCATCCCTACTTGCAGGCTTTCACCGAGCAATATGATGCAAGCAATCTCAGAAGATCGAAGGAAACGCGCATAACGTTCACACTGTATGAATGCATGTTTGTTCTACGTGTGTAGATTACAAGGGTTTCAAATATATGCTTTTAGAAGGACACTTAACATGCGTTTTGAACATGTTTAGGACGACACTTAACTGGCGTTTTGAAGGACATTTAGGACCTGTTTTGTTAAGCATTTTTATATAAGCACTTTTAAAAGAAAAAAAAATTCTCCACAAATGTTAAAAGAAATTTTTTTGAGACACTAATAGGAGGAAACTTCTTCTAGTTAATTTATGCATATGTTAATCTTAGTTTATGAAAAAGTTTGTTTCATTTTTTCTTCCTATTTTTTTTATTCTAGAAGTGTTTTCTGAAAAAATTTATCTAAAGACACCTTTAATGTAATTTAAGTCTTATGAGTTATTATCTCACACACAAACATACACATTTAATAAAAATAGATTCTAAAATATATTTAACACATTTATATTAGAATTTGTGGGATATAGTAATAGTCCTTTAAGCTAGTAGTAAAAACTTTTCTCCTAGCTAACTTGTGGGCAACAAAATTGACTAGCCTAGGTAAGTAGCTCATATCATAATTATGAAGAGGCCTATTCCAAATGTAACATTACCCACCATACGTTGACAATTCAAATATAACATTCTCGAGACCAACTCAAGGAACGGAAAAGCTTTTGAGCTTGCCGTCAAAAAAGTGTGACCATGGTCTAGATGGACACACATGACTATTCCAAATTAAGGATCCCTTAGATTTTAGATTTGAAGTAAGCTGCGTCTATATATGTTATATTTTAGATATCTATTTGCTAGGGGTTGCCACTGGCCTTGTCGAGAAGCAAGAGTAGGCATGGTTGTCAATCTCAAGTTACAATATTACGAGTTTATTGAAACAAAATGAGACAACACGAAAGGAAGCTCATTTTTGAGTAAACTTGAGCAAACTCGGGTAATCTCGCATGAAATTGCGAGTTTACCAAACACCAAAACACGTGTTTCATTAAGGGTTTCTTACCTTCGTCATTCATTCTTTTCTTCTCTCCTTTGCGCGTTGTCTATGCATTGCTTCTTCGCATATCTTTCTTATTCATGTCGTTGCTCCTTCGAGCATCATTCGAATCCATGCACAACGCTTCTCCTCCGTGCATCATTTCGGTTCGCATCGCACCATGTCGCTTCTCCTTCACGCGTCGTCCCTCCTCCGCACGTCATTCTCTAAGAGTTGTAGTCTCTCGCCATCGCCCTCGTAGCCGCATTCATCGTTCTCCGCACGAATGTTTTATTTGAGTTGCATCCATGCTCTTCCACGAGCCGCATCAGCCACTAAGACAAAGGTTCTTCTTAGTCTTAGCTCAATATTGTTCTTTCTCCTTTTTTATTCTCTATCTAATATATTTTTTATCCAGTCCCATTTTTCTTTATTCTTTATCATGTCTGGGATTAGATCAAATTTTGTTGGTGATTTAGCTGCTTCCTCCGTTGCTAAAAGTAGAAGCCGAAATGCTCCAAGAAATAGATAAGATATTGGGTGGAAACACGCACTACAAAAAAATTAGGATTTAACGAGGGTTATTTAGCTGGGGTTATCATAACCTCTAGAAATGTATGAAATTATCAAGGGTTTTATTAACCTTAGTTAAGTTTCAGTGGTTTATACTAAAACCCCAAGTAAATAGATGGATTTATTATGAACCCCCGTAACATTTAGATATTTTTTATTTAATTTAATTTATTCATTAAAAATTATGATTCCCACCTTTTTGTTTTTAATTATTTTTCATTTCCCCCCTTTTTTTTATCAATTCAATCATTTTTCCCAGCCCCTTCAAATCGCGCGTAACCCTATTTTTCCCTTTCTCCCTTTCGTTCTCTTCTCCACTTTCGTTCTCTTCTCCTTCCCTCTCCTCAGCTTCGGCACCGGCACCGCCGCCCGCCTCCTCCTCAATCTCCATCCCGTCGCCGTCCTCCACGTCTGGGAGCTCGACCCCGTCGTCCTCCAGGTCGCCCGCAAGTATTTCAACCGTCGCTGTCCATAAGGAGCGTCTCTTCATCTACGTCGAGAACGCGCTCGACGCCGCTGTTCGCCCAAGCCCATTG